TGAAATACTAATAAAATCCAGTAAGGCTATACTTAAGCAAAGAAACATGCAATTTGTAGGTCTGATCTTGCAAACACTTACTACTCAGTATAATCCTATCTGTCCAATAATAAGCATTGAATCCAGTAGCAGAAGGTTGCAGGATGGTGCCCTAAGTAAAATTTGTTTTAAAAATCTAGAAATGAAACAATTAACAGAAGTCATGTACTACCATTTGAACCTTCCTTAACCAGAATTCTCTAGTCTGGCTACATCCCTGGTGCAGCAGGACCAGTGGTGTTCCTGGACCAGAAAGCCCAAATATAGGGAGGGTCAGGCTGTGGGGCAGGAGTATGGTGGGGTGAAGGGGCATGACTTATCTGGAAGCCCCATGAGGGGGAAGCAGAGGGGTGGGCAGCACAACTGAGAGTTCTGCCCCCCGTAGCCAGGAAGTAGCAGGGGTTGGCAGCGGCCACGGAGTTCCAGCTCTAGCTGCAGAGCTCCAGACTTGGCCGCAGCTGCAGAGCTCCAGCCTAGGGAGGCATGGTCGGACAGGCAGCAGCAGTGCTGGACTGGAGCCCTAGCAGGGGGCAGGAGTTCAGCACAGGCCATGTTGGGGAACCTCCCCGTCCCAAGGGTGCCAGACAAGTAAGGTCCAATCTGTATATATTTGAGAGTATGTGTGTGTTTGCATTCAAGAACTTCTCCTAAATCGTAGAATAGTGATAGAAATGTAGCCGTGTTAGTCTGGTGTAGCTGAAACAAAAAACAGGACTATGTAGCACTATAAAGTGCTACATAGTCCTGTTTTTTGTTCCTCCTAAATCATAAGAGCTAGGACCACCAAATTTGCTATGCAGCTTCCTCTTATCATAACTTAAAGAAAGGTCAGGGTTTGGTTGTGCCAGGACAATATGATGTGCCTGGAATTCAATTGTTTCTAATCAAATGGAAAGGGAGAGGTCTGCTAGCAGCAACAGTTGAAATCCGTTGAATGATCACAGGGGGCTGCCGCACTAGGAACAGAGTGGCTGGGAGCCCTACCTGGTGGTCCCTGCCATTTCTAACTCTGGGGCAGCAGGAACCGAACCGCCCAGCTCTCTGTCCCTAGTCAGCCCTAGGGAGTCACCCCTTCCCCCCCCAACCTGATCTCCTACCTTGAGTCCCCTCAAACACTCAACCTCCTCCCCTGACACATGCACCTCCCCACATTTCTGCCCTGAGCACCCCCGCCCTGACTCCTGCATCCCCTATTCCAAGCCACCCCAAACTTCCCAACCTCCTCCCCCTGACTCCTGCACCAACCACCCCCTGCCCTGAGCCCTCACAGGGACCTGAGCAATGCCAGGTAAATCCTCTAGTTAGTTTCTAAAATGTAACTTACTAGAGTATATACATCAATGATCCTCAATGGCTAGCTCCCCTTATTCCTTTATTTGAAATGACAAGGAGGAAAAACTTAACTATATTACAGACTAAACCTTGGTCTAAAGTTCTGTAATGGAGCTCTCATGAAGTTTCGCATATAGGACTGGTTCCTGGTTAGCTAATGCCACTTACTAATAATGCCCCTCCAAAGGTACCAAACTTCTAATTCTAAAAATTAAGGGAACTGAAAATATGGGAAAAAATAAAATTTATGGTTATGCCATCTTGCAGATCAAAGATTTTTACATCTAGAGTTATACTCTCCTTAAAATAAGGTTTAACAATATATATCCTCTAACTAGAACAGCAATATAGACTGCACATGTATATTAATGATCAAAAAAGCATCTCAACAAATTAATTTCAAAATTAATTTTAAACATTACAGTTTCTGTGCAGAAAATTTGCCAAGATGAAGTTATGTTCGTTATGTGACTGTTGCATATGAATTTATGGTGAGATGGTTGCAAAAGATGCATCTGAAACACTGAATTATGTATATTCTTTTAATCTCAATATATATGTAAAATTATAATTTATACATAAAAACTGAACTGAAGTTGATGAGCTGTTCACCAAATTTTCACCCAATGGAGCTTCAAATGGCCAAAAACCCAATTAAAATGGGAGCTATAATAGAAACACTGATAAACTAGTAATACTGCTAGGTGCTTCTATACTACAATAGTGTTTCGAAGCTGCTTCATACAGCTTTGATCAAATAAAAAGATACTATATTGGCATTTTCAGTTGCCAACATTGCCATTTGCAATTAAAAACTAGAATTGGCTCTCATTCTATGCAGGCAATTATCTAAAGGCATCTGGCAATCTTCCTTGTTTACAGTGTTGCTGTGTCATGACTTCATTGTTTTGGAAATGTATTTTTGTGTAGGTTTAATACTGTCAACTTTATTTTAATTGTGGAACTTATTTAACAATTATCATTATGCTCTCAAATTATACGGAGTACCACCAAAGTATGATTTCTTGGCATTTACATGACAACTGCAATAAGAAGTGTCCTAATAAGTATTTAAGTGATTTTCAGTGTACTGAAAAAGAATTGTCTATGCCAGAATATGATTTAGTGTAAAAGAGTCCCATTAAAACATATATAGCAAAGTGTACCTGATAAGTAACTAAGAATAAAGAAAGTTCAATACATAAAAATAGATTTTTATAACGAACTATTTAGAGAGTAATAAATAGATCTACTTAGCTGACCACAATCTTTCACTAAATTAAATGTAATTTCTCACCTGTTTCTGGGTGGGGGGTGGTTTTTTGGTTTTTTTTTTTGGTCTATAGCAGTTTTGGACTACTAAGTAAATCAATCCCTGAGGTAAATCATTAACCACAGTGCAGTGGTTTTTGGCAACATATTCTATATAACTATAAAAACTTATTATTAAAGTAGGATTTGGGGATTCCCATGCTGGTATGACACAAAGCATTATTTGATCATAAGTTATCAAAGACAGCTTTTAACAAATACTTGTTTTAGTACTAAAAGTGTTATAGTTTACATTTGCTCACTGTACATAATCATCTATTCAATGAAATAACTGAAATTAACATTCAAAGAATGTGTCTTGCCATCTGTTTCATACTCTGCATTATGATAGTTTTCTATTATTAAACAGTGACCCATGCTCATAGACAACTATATCAAAGATCAATTTTCTGTACTTTTACAAAAGTTCAATATTTTGAAGCCCCATTTCTTCAGCTGACATCCCTCAAATTTCATCTGATTTCTTAGAACTTTCCGGGATTAGGAATATGGTGTACTGCAATGACTTCTTGATAAACTCTGTCTTTAAACTGAATTATCTATGGTGTAGAGCCATGTATTATGGATGCATCTAGAAAGAGGACTAATACCGAACTAACTTGTTTTGGAAACCCTGGGAGATAGTTTAAAGTGGTTGCTTAAGTTATGGTGTTAAACCTCAGATAAGCATCACCCTGTCTTAAGGAGCCAGTTCAAAATATACTTTAATTCTGTTTGAATCTCTCTTTGAAGGATAATACCTATAACCACAGGAAAATATTAGTCACATCCTCCACTAACCTAATGAACACTGTGCACACATCCAAAACAGAAGAGTAACTTGCTAATACAAGGTGCATAAGGAACTTTTATTAACATCCAATGGATGAGATAAATCAAAATTGTATAACAAGCTAACAGTTTAAAGTGCTTTCTAAATGATGCCTAACTATAACAGAAATAGTAAGGAACTTCTTAGCAGTCTCAAATTAATATATCATGATTATTACTAATAGGATGAATTCCAAATACCTAACCATTGAACATTTTAATAAAAACATTACAGTAACACTATGTCCACTGTGCTGCTAACTGTATGAATGCTAAATAAGTTCGTAACAACCAAAACTATTACTTATAATACCTAATGAATTCATAATGATGGGAATACCACACTGCACGATACAAATGAGGGGCAATAATAATTAAACTAAGAACGCAAACCTTGGATATTTAAGTACACTGGTAATATTAAAAGCATTTGACTAGAGATCCTGGTTCATACAGAGCTCATGAACTCTCTCTGCAGCCTGGCCTTTTACAAAAGACATTTGACTAGAGAGCCTGGTTCATGAAGAGCTCATGAACTCTCTCTGCAGCCTGGCATTTTGCAAAAGCCCCACTGTCTTTTTAAAAATTATTTCAGGCAAGAATGTCAATTCCCAAGCGACAGATACAACCACATATGAGAGCAGATGCTCGGTACTTCCTGCCTCTGTCCTGATCAACCACCTACAAACATACGTTTTCAGACCAGGCTGAAAACGGTTGAAAAGCTGTGGACCAACACACTGGCCTCTTTCCTTCCAGTAACTGTTTTTTATTTAGCTTCTGGGCACAAGCACGTATAAACGTGTCTAAAAATAACCAACGAGACAAAACTGTAGTAAGCGCCTAGCTGCACGAACGAATGGTGGGAAAACAGTAAAACCCCTAAGCCAGGGGAAGGCTGTGCAGGCCCGAAAGAGAAAGTAACTACTGTATTTGGTTCCAATCAGCTAGTTTCTCGCTGAGCATTTTCAGGGCCGCTCGGGGGAAAAGGGGGGCAAGTGGGGCAATTTGCCCCGCCCCCACGAGAATGTCTGAGGTCTGAGACAGGGAGTGCCAGGATGGGGCCCCCGAAATTGCTTTGCCCCAGGACCCCTAAATCCTCTGGGCGGCCCTGGGCATTTTCCGCTGGATGCTCAGGTCTAGTCCCTCTTTTCCCTGCTTCACACCTCGCCACGAGCGAGCCCAGCCCAGCCACTATTCGCCTGGGCGAGTGACAAAGAGCAGCCCTGCACCAGCGCAGTCCCTTGCAGAGAAGACTGGCGGGGAGGTCCCGGCAAACCCCGCGCTCCGCATGGACTTTCCCCGGGAGAAGCGCTGCAGGCGGTAAAGCACAACTCTGCTCTGCCCTCCCCTCCCGCGCTCGGGAGATGCTCCAGGAGTCAGGGCGGGGCCGCGTCACAATTCGCGCCGCCTCGCCTGGCGCAGCGGGCGCCTGGCTCCCGGCCGGCGGGGACAGGTGCGGCTGCAGGCGGGGGAGACGTACTCACACGAACGCGTGGTAGATGAACGCCCAGCCGCGGGGCCGCTCCAGCACGTTGTACAGATAGTTTTGCAGCCTCCGGTACTTGGCGTTCCGCCGACAGCTCTGGCTGCTGTTGTACGACAGCGGCTTCCCCCGCAGGCTCATCCGGGCTCCCCCTTGCTTCCCCCGCCGGGGCTCCCGCGAGCCACCGATGGCGCTGCCGGTGCCCAGCAGGAGCAAGCCGTCCCCCCTCGGGGCCGAGTTCATGAGCACCCTGCCGCGGCCGGATTCCACATCCTTCATGCCGCTCCCCGGGCGGCTGCTCTTCATCCAGAGCCCGGCGGAGCCGCCCTCCTCTCCTCCGCTGTGCTTGTGGGGCATGGCATCACCACAGGCGCGAAGAGCGGGGCAAGAGCAGCACCGGAACTGGGTGCGGGTAGCAGCCGTCAGATCAGCTTCCCCGGGTGCGGGCGGGAAGCGGCCCACAGAGCTGGGGAGAAAGGGGCACAGTGTCCAACCGAGTCCCTCGGCGGAGAGAAGCAAAGCGGAGTGGGATAGGGGGAGCTGCGTGGGCCACTTTGATCGAGCAGGGTCCTTTCTCCCTCGGTGCTACTGGCGGGGAAGGGGCCCCGTTGTCCCCATACACACTACTTAGCCCCTGGAATCCACAAGCAGAGAGAGGGACTCCTAAGCAGCCCCCCCTAGGCTGGCACCTTCCCCTAAAAGGCGGGATGGCTCCCTTTGCCCCTCGGGTCTTCTTTTAAAGAAGTTCCAAATAATATGGTCTCAGCAGCCCAGCTAGCTCCGTGGGTAATCGGGCGAGCCGATGAGCTCCAGCAGTAAAAGGGAAACGACCGTGGCAGAAGCTCTCTCAGTTATTTGGATGTATGGCGTGCGAAATAAAAGTAAAACTAGGGCAGCTTGAGGGGGGAAATTAACACAGAAGGGTCCTGCCCTTGGTTTAGCCGGTACATTTTGCTCTCATAGACCCCCTCAGTCGAACCAAAAAGCTGTTGCTCTAATTCCAAATGCAGGAGGGTAATTGTACATCCTTTGAATAAAAAAGGCTCCAATGTGTGTCCACTGTCAAACGGCAAGCACCACCATGCCCGGACAATGACAGTAGTGCTGAAAACATCTGACAACACGCAACTCCTGGAGGTTATACAGATTGTCGGCTAATTTCCATTTAAGTCGAAGGAAGTAATAAAACAGTCACTAGCAGCCGCAACTCCTTAGAGACTATGGGGGAAGAAGTGTCAGCTGGAGCAGCCCCACTGTGTAGGTAGCCCCAGCTTTCCCTTCCTCTGCCCAATTGCATATAGATTTATACAGTAAACATCTGCACAAACAGGACTATGTAACAGATCTGAAGTCTCACGCACTCCCCCACCTCGCAGACGCTAATAAACTGCATTAGCGGTTCCTCCTTGATTGAGGCGTGGGGTATGAACGAATAGGAAAGAGAGCAAATCCAAACCCGAAGGGAAAGAAAGTCCTTCTCTCTCGTGCTTGCAAACTCCCGGCAAGTGCCAGGGCTTCACACCGCACAGATAGGATGGCCAGTGAGCGAAGGCATTGATGGGCGGCGCTTGGTATCCGAGCTGAGCAGCAGAAAACAAAACGCCCCTTGCTGAGGGTGGGCGTTTGGCTCCTTGTCTCTCCCCCGCGTATTAAGGTGAATGTGCAGAAAACCACACCCGCAGTTACCCCGCATCAGCCCCCACTCCTCCTCCAAGGCGCGCGCACCCACACACAGAAGGAAGCAGGCGGCTGCTCCGGGAGCTGCCCAGGCAGGATTTATCTGATTATTATTTATTGGCTGCACTCGGCTCCAGCGCCCGCGGCTCCCTCCTTAGCTGTCCCTTGCTGGAGCGCCTCTCGCCCAAACACACCCACGGCTTCTCTCGCCAGGCGCCCACGTGACTCTTCGCTCAACTCCACCGCCACCCACACTCGCACGCCGGCCGGCTGGCGGGGGAGGCGCTCAGGAGGTTACCGCCTGTCACAAATCTCCTGGAGGCAGAAAAGTGGCGGACCCGCACGCTGAGACACGCCAGGAGTTGTCATCCTAACAACAAGCCAGATCAGGGTTGATTTGCGAAAGCCCCACCGTAACGCTTAGCTTGTTTAAAAATGTCTCTTTAAAGCACATGTATCGCTTGCTGTAGTAAACCAGAAGACATTACTCACTTCCTCTGAACCCGAGCTGCTGCTGCTTTGCATGCTGCAGCTAAAACACATCATCGTATTCATTTCCTAAAGTCAACTGATCGCTGCCCGCCCTCCACACACGCAGGCTGTTGCGAAAATATATTGTTCCTAAAAGGGCACAGTGACACGTGCCTTAAGAATGGGCACAGAATATGGGGAGAGCAGAAAGCCTGCTTAGGTCTAAAGAGAGCCTCTGGTTTACAGTGCTTAGCCCCCGTTAGGGTTTAGTTAATTCTCAAGCCTGCTCAAATCCTTAATCATTGAGGTTGTGAGGCTGTTCCGTTAACACTCTATTAAGAGAAATAGTAACAAAACTAAATATATCATCCCCCTACACGTGATAAATTAATAAATGTTAAACCAAGCATCTCCTGAAAGCAAGCTCTCAAGTCTAATTTGTTTAGGCTGATTTTCAAATATGCTTCCACTCGTTTTAATTAAGTTGGGAACGCTAAAATTAGGCCCATATGGACTTGTTCCACGGTATGTGCATGTGGTAACAATAAACTAATATCAAAATTATTACAGGATCATTAAGGAGGATTTCTCCTGCAGACTCGACCTAATCAAGACGTCTGTTAAAAGATCTTAGTTATGACCAACTTCCTTGAATGTTACCTTACTTTTCCAAACACATTCAGCTGAATGAGAAAGTCCCGTATACTAAATAATCATTTCACAGGTGCAGGATAAAATAAGAAGATGGACAGAGTAGTTGTGCTTTGTACCATCATGTTAATTATAAAGCATGTGGGGCATGATTACCTCTCCAGTAGGTGTGGTGGTAGTATGGGGAGAGATAAGGCTAATTTAGTAATAGGAAAAACTACTTCTTATTGAGATAATGCAAAACTTATGCTATAACAATCAGCAAAATTACCACATTCTGCTGTGTTAAGAACACAGTTGTTTTCAGTTGATCAAATCTTTCAAAGAAAATCAAAATGTAAGGTCTAGGTTTAAAGTTTGAGAGGGTAAAGGGGGTCAATTGTTTAGAAGATTACATGAATGAATTAGAAGATTACAGCAAAATGAGTGCTCAACATAATTGAATTATGAGAAATTTAAGATTAAAGTTAAGAACAGGTAACTAACAAATTTTAGTTAGTGTTACAAAATGTCCCCAAAGCTCTTTAATCAGAGAGTTTGATCTGCTTCATTTCTTCACTGGATTTCCTCTTGTAAGCAAACAGGAACTTTAAAAAGTAAAAGTGTGACATAGTAGAAACACAGACCTCCAGAGGGGAGCGGAAATGGCATATGTAGAAACACACATTAAAATGTTTGTGCAACATATTTATTGTAAGTTAATTTATATTTATTTTTTTTCCAAAACTCATCATTACTACATTCTACTGGAATTGTAAATTAAATTGAGTTTAGTAAGATGTCTCTCTGCTAGTTATTTGCATTCCTCCTTTGAACTGATGCAGGTGTTTTTAAGTCAATATCTCATTTTCCTCTTTCCATCCCCTTTGTGCCCATTTAACAATAGATATATGAAGTTAGAGTTAAGTTACTAAAGACTTGATCCTTATGCATAACTTCATACATGTTACAAGTCTCATTGATTCACAGTAGTAAAGTGTTGGCAGGGCTGATCCCCAAATTCTAGAAAGAGATATCATTATATCTCTGCAGGAATAGGGGGTGGGAATTAGAGCTGTGACTACACTACAGAGTTTTTTGGAAAAATGGCCATTTTCCCAAAAAAGTCATGTCCACACTGCAACTGCATTTTTTTGACAAAAAATTGAAAGAACAGAGGGTTTTTTTCCGACATTGGTAAACCTCTTTCTATGAGGAAGAAGCCTTTTTCCAAAAGAGCTCTTTCAGAAAAAGCTGTGTGTGGACGGGGAAGAGTGAGTTCTTTGGAAAAAAGAGGAAAAAGGAAAAAGCGCAGGTGCCCTGGTGCCACTCTGTCCACAGTAATCACAGTTTAAATGTGAGAGAGCATTCATTCAGTGTGGACGCTATCTTTCGAAAAAGCAGATAGCTTTTTCAATGCGCTTTTGCTGTGTGAATGGTCTCTTTCGGAAGAATTTTTTTAGGAAGATCTCTTCAGAAAAGCTTCTTCTGAAAGAAGCCTGCAGTCTAGACATAGCCTGAGTATCATAGACAATCAAAGGAATAATACTGTAATCCACAAAGCGTAAATTAGACAGCTAAGCTCCTATATAATGAATGGGGAAAGATAAGTGCCTTAGGTCAGTGGTCACCAATGAGTAGATCTTGCAGCCTCTGACAGGTAATCCTGACTGGCTTGGCCAGGAAGCTATCAAGCACTGGCACTTCCGTGGCCCCTCCACCCACTCTCATGCTGCCCTCTGCCATGGAGCTGCCCCCCTGGGAGCCTATTGCTTGGTGTGGAAGGGAGGGGGAGCTATCTCAGTTAAACAGTGTCCAGCCAGAGTCTGCTTCCCTCACCCCTGTCCCAGGGGGACTCCCACAGAGTACTCTGGCTCCCGTTTGCCATTCCAGCCAAGGGGAGCCATAGGAAGCTTCTGCAAACCGGAATCAACGGGAGCCACAAGGCTCTGCAGCTGCAGAGCCTTTACATAAACAAACTGGGGCTGCCCATTAGCAGCTTTCTCAAAGTGGACTTTAAACCAACGTTTGAGAAACACTGCCTTATACAGATAATGGGTGTATAGATGCCCATAGTGAGGCTGCAGCCACAGGCACCAACTTTCTAATGTTCCAGGGGCTGGCAAACCCCAAACCCCATCCCCACTGCATCTTTTCTTCCAAGGCTCCACCCCTGCTCTGCTTCTTCCTGCCCCTGATCCATCCTTCCCCTAAGCACACCTTGCCCACACTTTTCTTCCACACACTGCAAGCATGAACAGCTGAGCACCAGCACTCAGGAAATGGGGGGAAGAAGAGATGCTGATCAGAGTGTGGGGGTTCTTGGTAGATGGTCAGCAACCACCATTTTTTCATGGGCCCACCACATAGATCCCATTGCAGTTCTGTGTGCTTGAAGAGAGATTTTGAATGTGCTTATTTTTTTCTGTGGTTATTTGGATTGATTTAATTGGAACAACTTACAGTAGTAGCATTAAACATGTGCATAAATATTTTCAGGAACAGGGAGTAAGAGTGGGGGAAATAAAAGGTAACACTGTTAAAAAGCAGACACAAGGTCCTGTTGTTGATGAATTTTTTGAGAGTCAGTAGGAAATTTTGTAATAATTCTGTGCCCCCTAGTGGTACTAAAATTATATAAGAAATAGTTGTGAAACAGTAGTTTTATGGTGACAGCAAAAAGATAGACCAGTTATTCAAATGAAGTCACACACCAGTACAATAAGTCTGAAGCAGGCAAAATGCAGTATGGGTACTGATCTGAGTT